TAATAACAATAACCATCTTACCTGTTGCTTACAGGGCTTTGAAGACGATTGCATTTTCCCTTCAGTGTGAAATACAGTGACTATAATTGTTTCTGAGCACTGGCTGTTGTCATGTTGCCTCTCAGCGTGGGAACAAATGGTGAGGGAGGATCAGGCCAAACGTTACCTCTAGAAATGAAGGAGCAGACGCAGCAGGGCAGGAAACCACACACTCCAGTTTTTATCCCTGCCTTCTATTACGAGCTGTTTGTGGTCAAGGCTGTCTTTGCTAGAGCAAAATTTCACCTTTGACAATTTAAATACAGAGAAGCGTTCCTTTTTTTCTTTTTTTTTTTCTTTTTTTTTTTCAGCTGCAAAGCACCAAGTCTGGAGCATCACACACGTAACAAGTTAGCCTGGCTGCAACATTTGAGTTCACTTTATCTTTTCGCCTCTAATGTTTTGGCCTCAAACGGCAAACACATCGGTCTCATTTTCATTCATTCAAATCATCCGCCTCTGTTCGGCCAAATATAGCTTACTGTCCCTATTTGCATTTGGCGACATTTTGCTGCTGCAGTCAAATCGCTCAGGTCTGCAGCGCAGAGATGACACTATCCCGTCGTCTTCTTGGGCAGTGCAGAACACGACAGTCATATCAGGGTGTTGGCAACACAATTCTGTGGTAAGGAGCGACTTCTGCAATTATGCTGAGGGCTGTTAGAATGAACTCAACACATCAGGGCTGAGGCCTTCTGTCAAAATCTGTGCTCAGTTTCCCAGCCTCAGTGGAGCTAAAATCCAAGTAACGAGGGCCTTCAAAGGCAGGGTCATAGTCATTAAGCACTTTTTGCATTTAGCGGATATCTTGACTGGGATTGACTCAGTTGTAGGCATTCCTCCAATGATTACTTTCTGAGAATTTTATTGAAATTTGTCCAGTGGCTCCAGTGACAGCGGGTGCTTCGCTTTAAAGCCAAACGCTTTTTTTTCTTCTTCTTTTCTTTCTTCACACAGCCAAGACTGTGAAAAACTGTAAGAAGATGGTGGAGGTATTCTTCCACTCATTTGCTCTTTAGGTCCTGCCTAATGCAGCACACCTTCTTCCAAGGCCCCATATTGTTTTCTTCTTTAACAATAGATTCAATTACATAATGAATCCCATCCATATCAAAGACTAACCCCAGGAAAGACTGGCCAGACTCCAAGTTCCTCAGAACGGGCCAAAACCACATGGGAGAACAAACTCTTGTTTTTTTTTTCCTTTATTCCTCTTCCTCCTCCTCCTCCCTCTACTCTGCTCTTCATCATACCACAATCGCTATCAAGTGTGAGAGGATGGACATGTGTTGCTGATCATGTGCTTATTAGATAAACACTGCGATGGTCACCTAATATGCTGCGGTGTACTTTCTGCTCTTAAACCAGGAAAAGTGTGGCATCCCAGAGCCGGATCTGAAATGCTTTCCTCATGGCCTTTTCCCTGCACGGCCTTGTGATAACTGCTGTATCCCTGGGTGTTTGTGCGCTGTGAGATGGTAAAAATGGGTTTGGATGGGCTCTGCTGTTGAGTTTGAATCACCACGCTGTGCTGGGCAACAAGAGTCGGAGCACTCGCTCGCGGCTCCGCCAGCACCGAGCAACGTTTCAAACTCTGGCCCTGCTGCTGCACTTTCTGCCAATGAGCGGCTCTGACAAATAAATAAATAAATCTCTTCTCTTTTACCTTAGACTGCCCAGCTCTCTGCTTCTTTCTGTCTCACCCTCTGTTTGTAGACTTCTTTTAACCCAATCCATCCTTTGTCTCCGTCGCTGTTCATCAGTGAGCTTGAACAGTTTGTGGCGAATGTGCCTCCCACACTTGAAATTCCAGGGTCTTGCAGGACTCTACATGCTGCTGGCTCCGTCTCTTTCTCCCCTCTGTCTCATTGGCTGCAGTGGAGTTTATGTGTGTTAGCGCTGTTGGACAGGGTGACAATGTGAGTGTGTGCGGATGGGACCATATTAATATGCTAATTTATTGCCCTTAATTACATCAGCCAGAGGAGAGATTCCATACTTTACATAACAATTTTAAATGAGTCATTATGCGTCTCAATCAGCTTGTGTTGCTTTAGGTTGCCAAAAGATGGGAGTAATATCCATATTCAAGGTCTTAGTGGCATTCAAAAAATTTAAAACAGTGTTGAGATGAGCTAACTTCAAGTAAATATGCACACAGAACACGATTTTGGAATGATGTCACAGTTCAACACAAGCAGAAAGCTGTGACAATGAAAACACAGCCTCGGTTACTAATCAACAAGTCTTAAAGCTGTGGAAAGAAGATGAGCAGCTATGCTGCCACCCCATTCACAATTGAGATGTGCCAAGAAAAGTGAAAAGGAGAGAACAAATAAAAAAAAAACAAAGTGAAAGACTGTGGACAACTGTTCAGAGAACTGAAAATGACCAGATGTCAAAGTGTTTTTTTTTCCACTTTCTTTAAAAAAAATTAAGAACAGTCCACCTGCGGGGAGTAAAATCACCATTATTCATTGCAAATAAGGCCAGTTGTCGTGTTTATTAACTTGATAGTGTATCATTTTTGCTCTATTTTTACAAGAATAAATTAAAATGTGTTCTTCAGCAAATGGTAAAATAAAAACAAAGTTTCTTATATCACAAATATTAAAAAAACAACATTTTCTGACTTTCCATGGTGCAGTAATCCCTCCCATCTGGCAGGTGAAGTTAGACATGAAAATATTTGCAAATACTTCTAAATAAAGGTCTCGTTATTTTTAATTAAACAAAAGAAATAACTGGGAACACCTTTGGGATTTTTGTTTTTCCAAGGCAGATTTTTTTTCCTCTTTGTTATTCTTTTTAAAAATATATATAATTAAAGCTTAAGATTTCACATTTCATAAAAACATAGTTTGCAATGCGCTTTGACTGTTAATCTTTCCAAGTTTTTATGATATAAGCTCTTAAAGAACTGACAGATGGCTACTTTATATGTAGTTAAAGTAATTGAAGCAAAAACAGGTTGGATTCATAAAGCCACTTAAAGTTTTCTGTTTTTGTTGCAGGAGCTGGTTGATGAAAATGTTTGCTGGTTAAAATCTGATGACCTTGGTGGAGTCAACATCAGTTGACTGATCATTTAATATTATTCCTCCAAGAGATTTTGCCTCCATCTGCAGAATTACTACTTTAAAAAAAATAAATTAAAAAAAACTTTTGCTGGACATGTTTTACTGTAGTGAACAAGATGGTCATTTCAGTTTTGTCTAAAACATGCAAAACTTATCAACAGTCATATTTCACAGTAAAATAAGCTGACATAGAATGATTTTTTAAGTTCTATGAAGATATAATGCTTTTATTACAAAATGAAGGACATTTGAATTGAAAAAACTGCAAGATTATTGTGCCATGTAATCTCATTTTCTCTTTTTCTCTTTTTTTTTTTTTTTTTTTTTTTTGCAGACGCAGAATAGTAATTAGTCCCTGGCAGAGACGAAGCTGAGGATTCAGAAAGAAACTCGATGCATCGAGTTGAAAGAGTCTGGGCAGATTCAGCAGCAGCAGCAGGCAATAACTATGCTTTATGTCCTCTTTAATTTCACTTGCAAATCAGCCTCACATTCTTGGGGTTTTCACAGATTCCAGATCTAGATTTTTCACCACAAGCCTTGCCCTGAGTTAGCCAGTCTCATTAGGCGGGACGAGACTATCGCCAGGTTAGTTCTCCCGCTTTTACCAGTGAGGACATCAGGTGGTGAAAGCATCTGAACTGGGTTCATCTTGCTTTCCCCCCTCATGTCCTGTGGGCAAAATACCACAACTGCTCTCCCAATAACGCTCTTCCCTCAATCAAGAATACACTTGACAGCTGGAATGTGGCATCAGCAATATTATATTTTATATTTCTGAGGAAGCCTGTTTATGTGAGCCTTTACAGGAAATGCACAGACTGTTTACTGCGTCGCAAGCTTAAAAAAATAAGCATCCGGCATTTGTCACTCAAAGTTTCTATTACTGTGCGATTTGTATAATGTGTGCTCATTTATTCAGTTTAGTTCATCACACGGAGTTCTGTTTTGCCTCTTTTTTTAATCTATAGTTGGTGTTTCAAGAGGTCCAATCAGAAACTATGGACGAGTTCCAAAGAAACAGGACCCGAGCACCCTGAAGAGCCTTTTTGCCTCACTTTAATTCACTCCTGTTCTTTCTCAAGAGTTCCTCCTGAAAGTATTTGGCAAACACTTGTGCAAAAAAAAAAAAGAGTTTGAGGGAAGAAAAACAACAAGTCATTCTTGAGCCACCCACACCCCATCTGCTGTGGTATTATCTTCTTTTATTATCTTCAGATTATGTGCGCTGATATTATTTCTGCAATTTGGTTTGGTGGTCATTGTGGTTGTTGTTTAATTTTTTTCTTTTTGTTTGTTTGTGGAGTGTTGTGATATGAGACAGGGATGGGGTGTGAGTGTGGGGTGGGGTGTGGGGGGGTTCTTCCCCTACGTGCATCTAATCATCCATTCAGAACCCTCTTAATGGCTTGTCAGTTCCCCTTGCCCTTCCATTTTCTGTCCAATTAATTCCTTTTTAGCTCTCCGGATAAAGGGACACAATAGGGCCCCTCCACCGCATAATGAATCATTAAAATTCAGCAGCGCGGCCCTGGCACTTGGCTTCTCCCTGGACTGATTTGGGACGATGGATTGGCATGCATGCCAGAGCCAACATGAGCATTCTACCCACCGGGGCCAGAGGAGATAGGATCTCTCCTCATTCATTTTTTTATGTTGGTGTTTTAATAAAAAAAATTAAAGCAAATAGAAACTGATCATTTTGACAAGCTTTTATAAAATGCAAACTTGTGGATGAGGAAAATTCAAAGTTCAGATGGTGTTGAGTGATTTTTTTCCCCTTAAATGTGAAGCTAAATGTTTCACTCATCAAACCTTAATATACACCAAAGTAGGTCAATACGAGCCTCTATGTAGCACAAAAGCAATCCCACAACTGACTTATTCATATTTATTTATTCTTTTTTTTTTTGTTCTACAAATTAATTCCAAATTTGTTTAGGGAAAGAAAAATGTACAACTTAAAACCAGATAACCTGTGGATGTCAGTAAGAAAAAAAACGAAAACAAACATCAAGACAAAGCATCTTTTATTAAAAAATAATAATAATCATAATAAAACTGCCAGCGGATGAGTTAGCTGTGCATGTGCGAATGAAACTAGTTAAAAATAAAACAGTTGTCTTCACAGCCTTATGTATTTTATTTTCGATCGTACACAACAATGATATATAAAAATGCAATTCGGAGGACAAAACACAGAGCCTGTTGCTCTGCAGGATTCTCGGTTGATGTGTTGCAGAATGATACCAATCGATGTGAGGAATGATGTCAAATTAAGGACATGATGAGCCGGTTAACTAAATATTTGTGGGTGGATTGTGCGCAGCATGAAGTTAGTTAATAATTCCATTCAGTAATTTATTTATTTGGAAATACTGACAATAATCATTAGAAGGCACAAAACTTTTACATTATGCTAGACTGGAATGGTGTGTTAGGTTTTGATCAAATAAATATGACACTTTCTGCTCAAATACTCAGATTTGAGTGGTGGGTAAAGTTCAGAGAGTTCACAAAAGAATAATAATAATAATAAAATATGTCTCATTTGGTGTGTATTATGTTAAAAAATAGGCAAACCTTTAAAAAAACTAAACAAAAACATCTCACACGCATCTGAACATTGTTTCTCTGACACACGTGTCATGTACGTATTCTTGTTTTCCATCCACAAATACAGGAGGTCCAGCTGACATGTCACTCAGTGTGTGGTGTTATTTTACCCCATTTCCTTTAAGCCCAGATCATGACTAATCGCAATTTGACAAGCATAGATTTCAGACACCTGTTCTGTCCTGTGCAAGTCTGTTGGTCCGGTCTGTTTTGCTGAAAACTTGGAATGGAGATGTTTCTGAAAATTGGTCTTAAAAAAAACGTGCTGTGCTTTACTTCATTTACCTTATTTTCGTCAATAAAACGTTATTCTAAAATAACCAAACCCACATAACTTGTGTTTATCTACTTCAAAAGAAAACTTAATAATGCATGAACATAAATACATATAAGACTTTTATGCAAAATGACACAAAATTCAAAGGAGCCATTTACCTACGGCTGAACCACTGATGCAAATAGAGTTCTGTGATGACACTCCGGCTATTGATGCAAATTTTGCTGCAACTTAACATGACTGGTTCTTTGCACTTTTCTTTTCTTTTTTTTTTTTTTTTTTGACAGTTGGCCAAACTTTTTAAATCCTGCAAAACAGCTTGGTCTATTTTTTTTTTTTGCCTCAGCTGTGCACATAAAAAAGAATGGATGTACAGGATGTCGGCTTATAGGCAATACATCCTCATGGAGGAGTTTGGCTCACGTGTAAAAAGTCTGCAAAAAAGCATGTATTCGTTGCAGCAATAGAACTTTGTATAAAATCAGCAGGCACTTTTTTTTCCTTGTGTGTTTCGTGTTCAAAACAGGTAGCCTACTAGCCCCTAGAAACAACTTTTAACCTCCGCTTTGTGTCCTTCATTAGTAGTGCATCAAACTGAACGAGTCTCTGGTGCAAACAGACGGTCTGTGGTCCCCTTTAAGGTCGGGACAAAGTGGTGTAGATGGGCTGCTCCCAGCTGGAGGTAGTGGGGCTGTGAGCTGGAGCCATGGACAAACTATTTAAGATGGGGCTGCCATAGGGCCGCCTGGATGAGTGGAAGTAGGGGTACTGGTAAAGGCTGGAGGGGTAGCCGGAGTAAGGGTTGTAATAGTTAGAGCTCTGCAGGTCAGTATAGTCGCTTTGGGAGCTGGAGAAAGAGGCTGCAGCCGACGCAGCCGACGTGGCCGAGGTGACACAGGCCTGGCTGCTGTAGGAGCTGTAATCTGAGTGTGAGGGGGACCCGTGGGAGTGCTCGCTGTAGTGGCTGGGGCTCAGCTGCTCCGTTTTTATGTGGAGACGGTGCTGACTGACCTCGCCGGCAGAGGGAGAGGAGGACGACATGGCGCACTTTCGGCTCCAGGACGAGCCGCCGGTGTGGTTGTACGAGGACGCGTACGAGCCGCTGGGCACGGGGGCCGTCCCGTGGCTGTGCTCTGAAGACATGGCGGAGAAGCCCGAGGCGTGACCGTTCAGCGGGAGGTACTGGTCAAATTCGTGGACGTCGAAGGTCTCCATGTTGCTGATGACGTCCGTGCTGAGCTCAGAGATGTCTACGTTGCTGAAGTCAATGTTTTGCCTGCTGCTGTCAACAAGACGGCGGCTTTCGTGTTTGAGGTCCTGCTTCACTCCGTGGTGCAGGTCTGTTTTGGGGGTAGTGGGTGGTGTAGGTGGTCCATGAGGCTGTCCTAAAAAAGGAAACATATAAAAGTTAGGATTCATCACTCCAAACAGAGACTGAACTTTAAACAATTTCATTTTTGGCACAAACTGGTTCCCATACCTGCATGTTCAGGGTGGTGGGGTCCATCAGACATCCCTGCCAGTCCTCCCATCCCCGGCTCCGTTTTATACATATGATGAGCCAGTTCTGCCCCTGAGTCTGAGTCGCTTTGACCTGGCTTCACATTCTTCCGTCGTCTCGGCTGGTACTTATAGTCTGGGTGATCTTTTTTGTGCTGAACCCGCAGTCTCTCTGCTTCGTCCACAAATGGCCTCTTCTCACTTTCTGAAAGCAAGCTGTTTTTTGGAGAAAATTCACCAACCAAAAAAATAAAGAAACAAGTTTAGTTTTAAGGTAAAATATAGTCACTCAATAAGAAAACAGTGAAAAGTTCAATTTATGTAAAGTTTCTTGACATATATTACCAAAAATATAAAACTTTTAATTAACAATAGTTTTATAACACAAAAGCTGATTATGTGCAAGTTGATTATTATGCTTATTGTCACAATTCTTTACTGCCTATCTTTGTCTTCAATGTATGTATTCTTACCGCCAAAGTTTGCCCAGTGTCTTGCTCAGTTCTGCGTTGTGCAGGTGAGGATACTGATCCGCCAGCTTCCTGCGGGCCGCCTGCGCCCACACCATGAACGCATTCATGGGTCTCTTGACGTGAGGTTTATTCTTCAAGGATCCATTCCCCCTCACGGGCATGGGCACCAGAGACCAGTCATATCCCTTGAGGACCTGAGAGACCGCGTCCCGTATGCAGGCTGGGAACCGCTCGTCGTCCTCAGAGTCCAGTTTCTTGCCCAGACCAGCGAGCAGGGACCCCTGTCCGTCGGAGCCCGTCGGTGAGGACGGAGCGTCGGAGTCAGACTCGTCCTGGGACATGGAGCTGTTTGTGCCCGACGGGCTGCAAGGCTGCTCACACTTGTCGTGCTCCTCTGTCATTTTTAACATGTTTTCTTAAGTCCAAGAATGATGGAAATCCGTAAATGGTTTGCAAAATAATAATAAAAAAAAAAAAAATAAATAGAATTGATGGTCCCGGAAGCGCCTTTTTACGCACCGTGCGCCGCGGCGAATTTCCTTCAAGCACCTCCGTCAGTGAGTCACTTATTGATTATTTTCCTCCTGTCTGTTTGTCTTGTTTATTTATTTCTCTTAGCTGCCATCGGGGATGCGGTCGCTGAAGTTGCGCTTCACAATATGAGCCGTGGAGCTCCAAGTTCCTGCAACTTGAGTTGGACTTTTAAATTCGTCACCCCACCTTCCGCCTGGGATTGGCTGAAGGAAATCTCCACTTTCTCCCTATTGGTTGAAGGATTTTATGTGGGCTTCATTATTATAATGATTTTTTTTTCCCTGTTGCATGCATTTTTATGGCTTCAGCGGAAACTGTGACATCTTTAGCCACAGTTAGGAAATGTATTTGCGCACATAAAATGTCTTTAAACACTTATTTACTTATTTTTGAATTGCAAATAAAACATATTGTTGTGTAATATGCACACTACTGTCCTCTATTTGCCCTATTGTCAAAAACAACTGCATCTGTTTGGCTATTTGTTGTTTAATTTTGTGTTCAGTTAAAGCTAATATAAAAAAACCTAAACTAAAAAGCAAAGTGGAACATTTACAATTTTTCAGAAGGTTTCAGAAGAAAAAATATAAACATTTGTGGCATGCTAACAATAGATATACAGTGAATAAATAATAGTTATAAATGAATAAAAATATGCATTCTAAGACAAACTAGATCAGATTTGTAGTGTTTGTCCACCTGTCAGGTCCAAATGATCTGTTGACTTTTCCTCTTACAACACAGACTTGGTGGCAGTGTTTCTCTCTCTTAGAGTAGAAATGTTGTTTAGAACAATCACTCTCTTAAAATGGATCAGGATGTGATATTAAGCTTTCATTATGACATTTCCTCTGTGATGAAATGCAGGCAAAGAACCACATTTAAATACAGTATAAACAAATGTCTGTGGGCAAAAATGCAACGTGTTCAACTTTCGCAGGACTTTATGAACCTGGTTACAGCTTTAATAAAACATTGTATTTTTTATTTTTATTTTTTTAAATTTTATGAAACTTGTAGGTTAAGTTGTTATTTTTAATTTGTCAGCAGTCTACGAGTCATTTTTTTCAGCTTTAGTGAAACACATTTTTTATGACCCCTTGTATCCATTATCAAAAACGAGAAGATAAGCAGGTACTGAATCACTGGCTTTGTTAAAGTCGTCTTTGTTCAAGTATTGTGGGATGATTTTTATCACCATCCCATTGAAAGACAAGGTATGTTTGTGCTGGACAGCAGTCTGCCTTTGCTGCATGCTCACTGCAGGTGGCTGAGGGAAATGGGATTTATAAAGGGGAAATAATGGACACTGCTGTTTGTACATGTGGAGTTTACTGCAGGAAAGGTGCTGGCTCACACACTGAGGTAAGAAATTTAATTCTTTAAACTTGTATTTTTATGGAAGAAAAGAAAGAACTGCCTTCTTTGAATGAAAAAAAAACATTTATTTCAAAATACAACAAACGTGTGGAATGATTAATTTAATAAATGAATAAGGATTATTTTTTTAACTTGGTCGGTGCTTTCGTCCGTTAGCAGCAGCTGTTAATGCACTAAGGTCAAGTTCAGTGTGTGTGTGTGTGTGTGCATGTGTGCTGAATGTCAGAACAAGAGCTGATTGTCAAGCACGAATGTCTTCGTTCTTGTAGTCTGCGCATCAAAAGCATCCTGTGCATGTGCATTTTGTGTTTAAGCATGCAGTTGTAAACATGTGTGGTGCAGAAATGTACAACTCAACTTATGAAAGTTGGTAAGTTGTGTAAAATATCAAAAAAGAGAGGAAAATCACATAGCAGTTATTTGCAGTTTGCAGATTTCATGAACCCATCATATTGTATCAAAGGTTAAAACATTTTTAGAAAAACAAGGTAATTTCTAATTTTATGCAAACATATCTAAAAACAGATGGACCTGGACCACTGGACTGTCACCTTGTAATCCCCTAAGAGATGCTGAGAGCAGTTGTTTGAGTTTTTTGGGTGGAATGCTGCCCCATTCATTTCTGGTGTGCAATTTTAACTCATTAACAGTCCTGTGTTTCTAATGTGTTTAGCTGTTGAGAGGTTTGGACTAGAGGCAGATCAGTTCAGTACCTGAACCTTACATGTTGTTGTGATGGATGCAGTATGTGGTTTTGTGTGGGGGGTGGGGGAGGGTTATTATGCCAAATCAACATTTTTGCGCTTTATATCTTGTGATAAGGTCATTCCCTCATCAAAAAAACATATCCAGTGTCACTGACTGTGATCCAGTGAGTGTTGCTTTGACTCATTCATGCATGTTTGAGAAATCCTTATCTCCTAGCCACTCGGAGCTGCCTAAATGGTTGCTGGTACAATACAACGCACCTCCTATTTACCCGAAGCTCCTCCCTGGAGCTCAGTCTGCAGCCGAGACCCCGCTCCACAGAGCACCCCTCCCACAAAGCATTGTGCTGAAGTGGGAGTGTCAGAACTGGTAGGAGGTTCTTAAAGAGATGAAGGATAATTACAAGGTGTGTAGTAGGGCTATGATGCAAAGACAATCTTATTTTTTTAACTTTTACAGCATTTTCATAACAACTGATGGTTAAATAGTCACTTGATTGTGTGAAGTATGTGCCTTAAAAATACATGATACCCCTACCACCACCCTTAAATCTACTGAAATATATCTGGATGGGAGCATATATTGTCCGTCCATTTTCTTCTGCTTATCCAGGGTTGGGTCTCGGGGAAAGCAGCCTAAGCAGAGAGACCCAGACTTCCCTCTCCCCAACCACTTGGGCCAGCTCATCCGGGGGAATCCCAAGGCGTTCCCAGGCCAGCTGAGAAACATAGTCCCTCCAGCGTGTTCTGGGTTTTCCTCTGGGTCTCCTCCCAGTGGGACGTGTCCAGAACACCTCACCAGGGAGGCATCCAGGAGGCATCCTAACCAGATGCCCGAGCCACCTCAACTGGCTCCTCTCGACGTGGAGGAGCAGCGGCTCTACTCTGAGTCCCTCCTGGATGACTGAGCTTCTCACCCTATCTCTAAGGGAGAGCCCAGCATCCTGTGGAGAAAACTCATTTCGGCTGCCTGTACCCGTGATCTTGTTCTTTCGGTCACTACCCAAAGCTCGTGACTGTAGATGAGGGGTAGGAATGTAGACCGACTTGTAAATCAGCTTCACTTCGACAGGCCTGTACAGTGCCCGCATCACTGCAGACACAGCACCAATCGCCTGTCGATCTCCCACCCCATTCTTCCCTCATTCATGAACAAGACCATGGTCTCAGATTTGGAGGCACTGATCCTCATCCTGGCCACTTCACACTCTGCTGTGAACCGCTCCAGTGAGAGCCGGATATCACGATCTGATGAAGCCATTAGGACCACATCAAAAAGCAAAGATGTGATCCTAAGGTCACCAAAAAAGATCCCCTCAACACTTTGGCTGCCCCCAGAAATTCTGTCCATAAAAGTTATGAACTTATTTTGTTCAAAACCAAATTATCAGGGATCCTCAATTATGGTTCCTGTGTGCCACTATCCTGCATGTTTTACATAATAACATGTAAAACATGCAGGATAGTGGCACACAGGTCAAGGATCGACGGTTGCCACTCTACTTTTCTACATCAATGGTGCCTTTTTAGATGTGTAAGTTGTCAAGTCTTTTTGGGATGTGTTGACAACCAATTCAAAATTACTTTTTTACCAGAAAACTTTACATTTTCTTTAGTTTAAACATTTGATATCTTTACTGTGTTCCATTGTCCAAATGGTTTCATTTTTGGAAATTTGGCTTGAAGAAAAACAGATATTACAACTTGGTTATGTTACACATAAACTAATGATTGACTGATGCATGAATGCAGTAAATGCAGTAAAACATTTTGTCTGCTGTATTTGACCGTGGTGTAAAGGTTAAGATGGCCCATTTTAGATCAAGAAGTCCTGTGTTTGAATCCTGGGTCAAGCATTATAAAAAAACATTTTGTCTGCTGTGAATGTTAGATCGGCAACAGCTCCACATTTTTTCCCACTCATCTTGTCACAGGTAGACAAAACAAATAATCACATCCAAAGAGAACAAATCTGAATGAGTCCCATATGAGCGATGGCCAAAATCAAGTACTATAGCTGGAGGAGAAAATTGGTTTTGGCGCAAACAGGAAGAGACAGAAAAGCGGTGACACAATTTAATAAACTCCAGTCTCTTTAATTTATGCCTCTTTGTATTGTGGGGAGAATTCTGGCCTGAATTTGTGAGTTCTGAGCTTTTGATTGGAAAAGGAGGAAGCACCAAAGCAGAGGCGTAAAACAAAAGTTCCCCTAAAACTCGAGAAAGGTTTTTGATTTTCCTGCTATAGTAAAGGGACAACAGTTGTAAGTACTTTCATGTATATATTCATATTTTTTAAGGAGTCATGAGCATTTCTCCTGGGACAAAGTCACTCCACGTGTAAATTATACTCCCTGGCTTCTAATGTGCATGCAAAATTAAATTACACAGTCACCCACAGGAATCTTGAATCTTTTGGTCATTTGCTTCTGTGTTTCAATGCAGATGGGCACATTTCTTCACTCTTGCCAATACATTTGGAGCAGTTGCACGTCTACAGCACTGCGTTATATAGAAAGGAGATCCAGATGTTTAATGCTGATTTGAATCTGGTGAGACGTTCATCAGATTATCAAACTTGTGTTGATAAAATAATGCTCAGTTCCAACCCAACGCATAGAAGAAATTCTAATCCTCATTTATAGTGTATTTACAGAATCTGTACCACAAGAAGCTCGAGAGAATTTCTATACAGTTTCCCACATGAACAACAACTCATGAACAACATGGCAATTGCAACACCCTAACCAAACCGTGACCCAAACAGCAGGCCTTCATTTGGTTCAATAATCTCTCTGATTGTACGCTGAGTCGGGGTAAACTTGGCGAACTGAGGAGAGTGACGTGCCCTCCATCTCACCCAGACAATCCCGACCACTGCACAACCACATGTGGAGTGAGCTCCCAGGCTGCTAACAAACCATGTTTCACCCCCACACCACATCAACCAGACCACTTCTATCTTTGGTTTCACAGGCTAAGAAAGAATGTGATCAGGGCAGAATTTACAATTGCAGTGAATACAAGTGGAAGGGTTAGATTTTTTGTTTTAGAAAAGTTGGGATTTTTTTGTTCCTTTTTTTTAACCTTAAATTTCCCCAGACCTGGTGAAGTCACAGGATGGTGTATTGTTATATTTTTTAA